TAGGGGTACTGCTGGGGGGGTAGGGGTACTGCTGGTGGGATAGGGGTACTGCTGGTGGGATAGGGCTACTGCTGGGGAGGGTAGGGGGTACTGCTGGGGAGGGGAGGGGGTACTGCTGGGGAGGGTAGGGGTTACTGCTGGGGGAGTAGGGGTTACTGCTGGGGGGGTAAGGGTGCTGTGTCAGTATACCCCCCCTCCCTCCTTCTTACCTTTAATGAAGTGGGGGGGGGGGACAGCGATCCCTGGTGGTCCGGTGGTGGTAAGCACTGCAGGGGGAGGGCTCCAGAGAGCAGCTCCCCTGTCCTTCCGCGCAATGCTATGTGGAGCGTTGCCATGGTAACGTGCGGCTACGCTCCACACAGCATCGCGCGGGAGGACAGGGGAGCTGCTTCCTGGAGCCCTCCCCCTGCCTCCCGACCCGGAAGCAGAGTAGGCGCCTGCCGTTTCGGGCAGGCGCCTACTCTGCATTGATGGCGAACCTGTGGCCGCGTGCCCACAGAAAGGGCCCGGCGTGCCACCTGGGCCCTGCTAATGCCAAGTGGCGGTGAGAGGCTCTACCTATGATTTGGCTTATGACGTATGTAGCGGAGATGCAATATTCCCCAGGTTATCTCCACTTATAATCCAAGTGAGGCTCAGGAACAAGTAAATAGTAAATCCACAGGCAAGGTTTCCAGCAGGTAAAATACAGCAATATCCCAACAGCAATCCCAATAACTGGACGACACACAGTTTCAGGAGCAGAACTGAAAGCTTTAATCCACAGTCTCCTTATAAAGCATGCTCCCATGCAAGGGAGGGATTTACAATCATTATTACAGTAGCCAATCCTGTCCTGGTAACCTCCCACACATCTCCTCCCCTCAGCCAGCATCATAATCCCCTTATCCAGTACAGTAATTCCCCCCGTTTCTGGATGTACCCCTAAACGTAGGGGTACCTCTTTAAATCCTACATCCCTGGATACCCCTGATCTGGGTGGACAACATATCCAAAAATCACCCAGATCAGACCAGGGTTTCGGGAAATGTATGGAGGGAATAAAATGATCGACCGCACTAACTGAGATAGCCGAATAAGGTTCCATGCGAATGGGCCCTGCGGTCGGTCCTGGCATAAGGGAATAAAATACACGAAAGCCTCTAGCTATAGAGGCTAGGGAAGGTTCGCCTGAATCCCCTCGTTCGGTTCTTTCTATCTACTGAACGAGGGGCCGTTCGGTAGTTAGGAACTGAACGGACCGGGCTTGTGGAGGTCTCAGCGGTGTTCGCCTACTCGAGTATCCGATTTGAGTTCCAGACACTCGACGGCAAAACACTGCTGTTCGGGAGTTTTAAAATGTCCGCCGCCACGTGTTCGTTTGTCGAATGGCGGCCACCCCCGAGAACAAAGGACGGCTACTTACTAGGCAATTACCCGTTCGCAACAATGTTGCAACGGGTAATTGAGGACACACTTCACACAGGGGAGGTCTGGTTGTTAGGTAGTTTCATTCGAATGAACTAAGGGAATAAAACTACCGAACAATCAGAGGAATACAGTTCTTTTAAACACATAGAAAACCAGCAGATCACACGAATGCAGTTATTCACAAGACATTTGCAGGACAGCCCAGTGCCATCCGCTACAACGTAGGTGCCACAGACGTGGTGGCGGGATGTTGGCCTCTCGGTGACGATAAGAGAAATCAAAACGTGTGGCCGTGACAGGTGAGGCCCTAACTTGAGCCCTGTAGTAGGGCATGCGAGGCTTATAACTATGGTTTGGGCGTGGGGCCGTACCTCCGTGTTGAGGTGGGGTGGGGGTGATAGGCCTCGCGGGATCGGATTTCTTGATAGGGTGGGGTAAGGCATTAGCCTGTGCCCTATAGCCAGTTCGATTGTATGCTTAAGGGTAAAGTGAGAGGACAGGAGTGGTGTGTGGATACTAACCTTGACTGGTCGCAAATGGCATCTGGAGCCTCCTGATAAGTGTAGAGAGTCTTAATGCTGTCTTTGAGGAAGAATCCTGAGGGTTTAAGACAGATGTTGATGTATTTATACGTATCGTGATGTCGTATGAATAATATTGGGAGAAGGTTTGTTAGGGGCGCAACGTGAGATCCTGCATTGAGGGATCTGGGAGGTTAGGTGTAAGAATGGGATGATTTTTGATATTAGTGAGAAGGCAGAATGAGGCCTTGGGGTAGCGAATGGACGTACTTGAGTAAGGACGTAAGTACCTGAAGGTATGGCTGAGTACCGGGTCAGGTTTTTGGTGTTTTCTGAGCCTGATGGCCGTACGACCTAATGTCTGTGTAGACAAGTAGTAAAGAGATAACGTATCGTGGGCGTAAGCCTGAGGAAAGGTAGTAATGGAGTTGAGACCGCGTGAGGTCTAGTATGGAAAAGAGAGTGAACTATACCTTGGTTTTGAAGTACAGAGATTATGTTTAAGCGTGGCAGGTTAACTGCGTAGAATCGGTGGAAGCTTAGAATAATACAGGATCTAAGGGTTTAACCAAAGACAATTTCCATATTTAGCGATAGATGTGAAGATAATTGATAAAACCTGATAACTCAAAGTGATAATATACCATACATGTTCCTGTAATAAAAGGACCTTGAAATAACAACTTTAGCGCAGAAAAGCAAGAGACCGATGCAAACTGTAAAAGCCAAAATATGTGACAGTGTGATTTATGTGAAAGGAATAGTACAGATTTTGTGTAATGGGTATTTCTTGTATGTAGTGTTTAAATGACTTATATTTGAGTGTTTTTTGGAAAGAATGGTATTGCTTGTATTAGACACGTATGAAGGTATGTACCATGGTTAAAACAGTATGTTTATTACAGAAAAATACGTTAATCGGTTAGCAAAGGTAGGAAAAACACAAGGCTGGTAGTTAAACCAGATAGTATAACCCCATACTGATGTGAAGGTATAAGTAATAATCTGACCGAAACAAGAAATAAACGAAAAAATGTTTCGTGTGATTAGAACTTATGCATGCTTTTAGCTTGTTAGAATAGAAATATAACCGAATATAAATTAGTAAGATGGTGTTCGTGTATTTAACCATACGAATAGGTTGGTACTGAGTGACCGAACGGAAAAAGGGAATACAAATAATAATGAGCTTAATACATTAAATATATATTCGGTAGTTTCCGTACGAATAAGCTTAAACGATAGTGAAATGAGCCGAACGTTCGTGCGTTTTGGCGCGAATGGAGATTTTAACGAAAAGCATGTATTCGTGTAAATGCGAAAGAGGGAGCCTACCCCTACGTTTTTAGGCCCGAACGGCGGGGAATAGCGAACGCTAATTCCCTCGCCTCGCTTACGTGAACGTGCCGGTCTCGTGACCGGAAGTCGGGTACCTCGACCGGGGAAAAACCGAGTGGAAGGACCTCGAACGGACGGAGGATTGAACAGGACGTCTGACTGCTGGAAACAGGTACAGTTCTGGCGGGAAGCTGGACCGGAAGTGCTGGTTGCTATGAGGACAATCAGCTGAGCGGCAGTGGTGAGTAGGGGCTGGAAGTTTAAGTAGGGGACTTACTCCTCCCACAAATTCAGGCCTAATGGCCTTTCTACATATATATATATATGTATATATATATATCCAAAAAATTACCGGCACTCAAGGCTTTTTCAATGCAGACAAATTCTCTTTAATCCAAATCCACCATCAACATTTCAGCTCCTCATGGAGCTTTCATCAGGACATAAATCACAAATAAAATAAAAAAGCTTGTATAGGAAACAATTAATAAGAATACTTACAACACCGGTGATCCTCATTCACTCCTGCCGCCAAACTTGCACCGGTCGCTAGCCCGGAAGTATATTCACTTCCTGGTTTCCACCCACGTGATCGGGTGAATGAGAGTTTCTATTTTTTACCCGGACCTCGTCTCTAGGCAACTGGGGACTCATTTGTCTCCTTAGAACCTCCCATCTGTACGGGCACCATTAGGAACCAAAATTCTAAACCCTCATTAATGTTAGACCATTGCCATAGCAACCGGGCAACAGTCTGATCGGCAAAGAGGAAGAGGAGCATAAATTAAGACACAGGGACAGAATATTATATTTCTCAAAGAGACACATGATTAAATATAGTACAAATAATATAATAGTATCCAAATAAAAGTGATTAAGGGAACTAACTACAGCTCCTATGTGGACATCTGGTGTAAGTGCATATGATATTCACCTAATAACCATACTACTGCCAAATTAACCATGTAGAACCTGGCTTGTGCAATTCATTATTAATAAAGTTTAAATACACAAAAGTGTCTAGTGCTTTATTATCTAAATATATATTCAGTACAAAAAAAGGTATTTTTTTGTGCAAATGATTAAAAGTGAAACTAAAGTGCATATGTGCCTAAATCAGTATAGACTATATATAAAAAATTATCCTTAGATGTTACTAAACATTGTGTCTTCAAATACAGACCTTTTAATCTGTCAAAGTGTCTTATTAGGTCATATGTATTCCGAAAATTCTTTTTTTTTAAATTAAAAAACAGTATTATAAGAATAGATTACACAAATATTTGATATATATATATATATATATATATATATATATATATATATATATATTTAAGGATCATCACCCTCTTATTATAACTCTGAACCACCTATCATATAAAGGCTGAAAAAGAACATTTTTCATTCAGACCCCTAGGTGAAAGGGTGTCAAGCTGTACGATCCAGTAGGTTTCCCTCTGTAGAAGAAGTCTACCACGGTCACCCCCACGGATCAGTATCGGGATATGGTCGATCGCAACACATCTCAGGGATGATAGTTGATGTTTTAATTCCCAAAAATGTCAGGCCACCGGTTTATCCGACTGGCCATGACGGTAGGCCAGGCGGATGCTCGACCTGTGGCCCCTAATTCTCTCGCAGAGTGCTGTCTCCGTCTTGCCGATGTAGTTCAGACCACAAGGGCAGGTCAACTTATAGATCACAAAGTCACTTCTACAATGAATTTGGTGTTGAATTCTATAGACATTACCCGTATATGGATGGCTAAAGGTTTTGGCAGGGATTATGTGTCCACACGTGACACATCCCAAACACCTTACACACCCCACATTCTTACTACTACTGATAGCAGTTCCATAACAATGTTGGGGGTCCGTTTTTACCAGCATGTCTCTCAAATTCCTATTTCATCGGTAACAGAACAAAGGTTTCTGGCGAAAGTTCTCTGGAAGAGTAGGATCCATTGCTAGAGTATTCCAATTTTTCCGAATGGAAGAAGTAATCTCTGTACTTGCAGTATTAAACTGCATTGGAAAGATGAGTCTGGTATTCGTTGCTCTACCTATTTGTACCTCAGATGTAGAGTGTGTCATTTTTGCTCTCTTAAGAGCCACTTCAAGTATGCTCCG